TTTTTTAAATGTATTTTTATTCTATTTTAACATTTAGTTCCTTAGAATTATCTAATATCTCGTCCCTAATTCATAAGTTTTGATTATGAATATTCATCACACAGCAAGTTCCTTTTCTGAGGACGTGTTTGACACTTTTTTGAGCCTCTTATTGAGCTCGATACAGTCTCTGTAAAAGCTGAAACCAAAATTCCCATCAACAAGTGATTTGATGAATCTGTTCCACAAGTTATCTCCAACCTGAAGATTGGGACCCACTGTGCAATCTTAACTCATATTTTAAACACAGAACAATATCTACATATCAAACGTTAGTCTGTTTAAGTTACATGAAGGCAGAAGCTGATACATTTTAAATCATGGGTAATTTTTTTCTGATAATAATAAAGACTGTAGCAAATGTAGGAAAAATCATGAACGTCAGTGACTCGTGTTTAATTGAAATAGCTTCACTGAATTAATCTTGCAGAATGTCAAACGGTGCTAATATTTAATTATCACAGAGCCCTTTTTCTCATGAATGACTAAACAGAACAAATTTGACAAAAATATTTCACTTGGTAATCATACAGTACTGTGCAAAAGTCTTGAGTCATCCCTCATTCCTTTATGTGTAGCTAGAAAAATGGAAACTAGGTGCTGAAACATATGCAAACGGGGATGGAAATACAGTAAAAACAGTCTGCACAAGTCTATCGAGCTTGAAAGCTAATAATTGTTCTCAGTTCTCAGGTGCAGGCTTCTTGAAAGACATTCAAAGCTCTTCTCCAGATGTTGGCCTCATCTTTTTCTTCAAAGTGATCCCACATTGCTTCAGTAACTTTGAGGCTCAGACTCCAGGGAAGCCAATCCATGACTGATAGTGTACCACTGTAAAAGACTGAGTCGACTACAAATCAGTGAAGCCGATCGAGAAATGCCTTAAACCTGCATTCTTGCTAAGCAGAGCCACCAGAGTACGACTCCACTGGCGGAAAACAGAAGTCTGATTAAGTTGAAGCCTGTGACAAATACTCTCATTTTCACTTAATTTATGACCTCAGATGATGTTTTCCCAATAAGTGCTTTTAGTTAGAAGTTTCTGCAAGTTCAGTTTAATATAGCAAGATATTTACTTTACACGTTGTATATACACATATATATGTCATGTTTAAGGCCATTACACAGAAAGTATGTTGCAAAAAATTATCGAGACAAAATTCAGAATTTTCCAGATCCGTACTTGCCATGTCAAGTGTACTCTATATAAGCAGAATTTCATGGTTTGATCCAGGAGTTGAATCACCGTATCACAAATGCTTTCAATAATTTCACAGAGCCGACTGACCCAAAGTAACATACAGTACTGTTATTTGACCCTTTCCTTATCATTCTGTATTCAGTACTGGTGCTCTTTTGAGCATCGAGTTCATTTGTTGCCAAATACATTGGTCTGATTGGTCTCCACCTTGTGACTGACAGGTCACTATGTACAAATGTGTGGTGTCCCTCAGTTTCCCGGTCAGACTCACGTGTTGCTCATGAAATCTCGCTCCAAAATCCCTGGTAAACCTGGTAACAGCCACAATGCTCGGGATCTTGTCACAATGGTCACATCCATCTCTTTTATACAGTCTGTGCTCTAAAGGTGCTACATAGTCCTCTCTGTAAGCCAGCTCCCTCTGTCTGATACTGAGCAGGTAGTCTGGTGTTGGCTTTCCATTTTCTCTGAAGGTTGGGGAGCTGCTAAACCTCAAACTGAGGTTGGTAAGCAGTGAAGACAAACTGGTCGCTACACAAAGAGATGAAACTAATAAAACTGCAAAATAAAGCAGTGCTGCAAAAGTATACAATAATTATCTGAAGGTTCATCATAAGTGACCACTTTCTCATTTTCACATTGTTTTTACACTATAACATTTGATAATTGCTGCTGTGAAACTGCAGATAATTTAAGGTCCTTTTGCTAAAAATGTTTTGTTAGTTTGAGTCTTGTGTTCAGTTATTATTATGACTAAAACAGAATTTTTCCACCTTATATCTTCCCTTTTTTGTATAGCTACAGCACCTGCTCATTTATTTTTTACCAACAACCATCCATTATCCCCCCCCCTCCTTTCTCACTGTATGCTGTCCAACCTCCCTCCACCCCGTCTGCCTGTCAGAACCCACCATATGCGTATTTCTGCAAACGCCATCATGCTTCTACAGCGCATCTGTATGAATTGTTGCGGGATGCGGCCGTCACGTGTCGGCACAACACAGGCGGTGATTTGTGTGAAGCAAAACGAGCGTTTAGCGAGCCATCGTCCCACCCCCACAACTTTCATCAGCCAACAACCATCTTTATTGATTTCAAACAGTCTGCCGTGATGGCGCAGACGCACAGGTGGGGAGAGGAGAGCGGGGAAGGAAATAAACTACAAAGAATATCAACAGGAAATTGGAAGAAGACCGCCCTTTTTTCTATAAAATCCTCATCTGTCACATAGGGGACTGGTTTTTTGTTTTTGGGGGTTTTTTTTCTCGTCTCCTGTGCTCTTTGATTCCCTCACTGTATGGGCCTCGGTTTCTTCTTCCTCCTTCATCCTTCTCCTCATGTCTCTTCCACGCTGCTTTACTCTACAGGATGGTGGGGGAAAAAATAAACAGATGGAAGAGGGAGGGATAAAGAGACAGAAAGAGGAAGGATGCAAGGGTTCAAACTGAGAGAGGGGGAGGAAAAAAAGGTGGAGATGAAGGGATGAGAGGATGGAGAGCCGGCGGGGGGATGGAGCGGATGGAGGGAAGAGGAGGGGACGGAGAGCCTGATGAACTCATCTAAAGGCGCTCTGGGTTTTTTAATAAGCAGCAGACTGTGAAGCTACTCTCCAACCAGTCACTCTGAATAATGAGAGAGAGAGAGACACGCGCGCACACACATGCAGGATGAGAGGATGAAAAGACAACCAGACTCATTATCTTGCGACCAATTTTCATCACTGTCCCGTCAGTAATCTCTCTCACGGACTCGAACAGTCCTCAGCTCTGTGTGAGATGACAGATGAAGACCAATTACGGTAACTGTTTCGTTAACTTGAAGGCTGATTCCCTGCCATCTTCCAGAACATACACTGATAATCCTGTTGGCCCTAGAAATTACCCACTGCTCACAGCCCACCAACACACCTGTGTGC